AGAAGATCAAAAGTAGCTACCAATGTCATGTTCTTAGTCATGAAATTTACAATATGATTCAACATTGTCAGCATAAAACACCAAGTATCGTGTTAGGTTCCTAATACACGTGACAGTGAGTTAAGTTCAAGGCTGGAAAAATTAATGACAGATACCAAATATGGAGGTTTGGACCTACTATGATTTCTAGCAAAACTAAGTCCCTGACCACTGACTCCAAGAGCCTTCAAAAATTTCATAACATACCTGAGGAGAAGCAATGACTGTCTGAAGTACAGAATACCTTTTGCCGCATCAGATTCAAGCATCTGGTATATAACAGACAGAGACCCAATATCATCAACTGCAGACCAACAGTCATATAACCGAGCCCAACAATCAGCAGTTGTCCAACGTTCAACATGCTCACGCACAAGTGTGCAGAGTTGGGATGCAGCAACACGTCCCTCAAACATTCTATAATCTGAACGTAAAGTAAGAATTGTTTGAACATCACATAGAGCTGCTTTGTAGTCCTCAAGAGTCAGATGGGTAAAAAATCGTATTTCTAAGCATTCTAGTGAAAGTTTGAACCCAAGAATCCTATTGATTTCTGCTAGTGCAGCTTGAGCATTCTGCGTACTCATCAAAGAGGCAGCCCTGTACATGTAAGGATATGCAAGTGTAGGATCCAAATTACTTGCTTTCTCAAGGTCATCCCACCTTTTGTCACTGTCACAGTATAATGACCTTTCCTGATACATCCATCCAAGTGGAGTAACAGATGAAATGACCGAGCTCAGCAGCTCATAAGATAAAAACTTGTCGCCCTTTATAAAGTCAAGCCTAGCTAAACCTGCCACAGAATATATATGGCCTGCGTTTACGGCCCCTTCAAAAAGAAGACGTGCTTCATCATATTCTTTCCGTAAGAGTCTTACACATCCCAATTGATGTAAAGCCAGGATTCTCTGTTTGTCATTCTCAGCAAACTCAACTAACCGTTCCAGGATATGAACTGTTTTGTCGGAACTAGAATTAAGGTTCATAGAAACTTCACTTAAGAAACAGAAAAGTGCAAATATACCTGGCCCAACCATTACTGCTAGCTGCTGCTTATTAGCATGAACAAATATCTCTACTACCCGACTGTCATTCAAACAGTTTGGAAGATCACGCAAAAGTACTTGTAAACAGGATGCAGCAAGTACAGTTGAATTCTCATCAAGAGCATATTCCATGAGCTCTACAGCATCTTCTTTGGAGGAAACCAAGGATGCAAGTCTTCTATCACAAGCATCTTTAAGTCTTTCACAACAATACTTATTTGCAAAAGCTAATATCTCCAATAAAAGATTTGGGGGGACCTCAATCAAACCGCCAGTCAAACTGAAAATACTTATTGCCTTCATACCAAATGGAGAGATATTATTTTCAGACAAATCTATAGTCTCAGCACGTGATTCGCTGAAATACCCCTTTAGCATAGCATTAAATGGTGCCGAAAGTTCAGAAATTTTTTGTCTATCACAAACTATCTCTTCATCACCAATTGTAAAAGTAACATTTTGAGAAATGCAGTTCTCATTGGTCATTCTCCCCACAGAACTTACATTTACATCAAATGGAAGATGAGATGCTATATCTACAGGTGCAAACTCCTTCGCACATTTACCACAATTGGCAAGCAAGTCGGCTATTAGTTCTTCCTCTTGCTTCTCATATTTCAACCATGCCCCAAATATAATCTTCTCATGAACAGTGTTGGCTTTCTGCCAAGCTCCCTGAAGGCTTCTACGCATCAGTTTAACTTCCCCAAGGCCCCTAAAGACCTGGTATTGTAACAAAAACAGATTCGACCGCTCTTGTGGAGGACAAGACTCGAGCTCTTCATGGATTTGCGCCAAAACTTCCACATAATCAGCAGGCTTATAGAAAGGCCGTACAGCTGGCTGAGGGACCTTGACCAGAGATTCTCTAAAGTACATAAAAGCAAACAAAATCCCATCCCAACCCCACCAAAAAACAAAAACACCTAATTAAATTGGCAGAAAGGGAAAACTTCAATTGAAATAAAGGACCCGTTCAGAGAGAAAAACTCACATTGAGGCAGAGGAAGGGTACGATGACAACTTGGGAAGTTTCCCTCTTTCAATTTGAAGCCAAGACTGAGGATTCAAAGCATTTGGATGCGTCTCTTTACAGGATTCTGCAGGGAAGAAACTCCTCATGGGGCATATGAGACGAAACAACTCCCGGATCTCCACAACAGCACCACTTCAAAAACCAAACTTCACGAATTGGGGGCACATTCCATTGCCAACAAACACAGCAATCAATCTCAAGCTAAGGATTTGGTGCNGGGAGTAAGACTAGTTACATACATCACATGATGTCATATGACTCTGTGTGAAAGACCAAATCTCTAGAGACATTTTTTACAATGAAATTCTTGGTAACAATTTCCTCTAATATCAGTCTAGTTCTCCCTTTTTCACAGATTAAAAACCACACAGTCTCCTCTTAGTTGGTGCTTACAGTGGTCTTATATGTCCATGATTAAACCACCATAATTAATTTCCTATCATTTTTACCTCAGTTGGTGCCACAACAATGTCTCTTTGCATACAATCATTCAAATCCTATCCTATCTTATGGCCACGCATCCATCTTAACATTCTCAATTTTTTCTACTCCCACATTTTTCTCGGCCCTTTAAAGCCCGACATTCGTAACCACATACTACAACCAAATGTACAGCCGCAAAACTTATATCTGAGCTTGGTAAGCATATTATGATTATAAATAATAATTTTCGATGTATTTCTCCATTTTAGCATCTTACTTGTATCATGTGTAACATCCTCATTAACTTCCTCATCATTTCGTAATATTAATCTCACATATTTATATTATATCATGAAAAACAAAAATGTAAAATTCTTAGATTGGTATGTTATTTTTTATGTGTGGCTTTGGTATTGCACCTGTATTTCTATTTTTAATTCCCAAGACATACTTAGAATCAAAATTATTCTCTGCAAGATGTTTCAAAGATGTTTGATAAAATTACTTGGTGCCAAGGAACCCGCACAGTTAAAAGCCAACTTTGAAAGTGATCAATGACAATCAAAATATAGTTAGATAGTGAACTGTCCAAGAAACACTTTCCTGTCGAGGATGGAGACAGACCATAATTAATGAGATGACAGTCTTAAATTCCAATCTTATATTCTGTTCTAGGCACTTCTCGAAAAAAATACAGTTGGTTGTCAAGGGGACTTCATTGTCATCATGAGCCCTAACAGACATATGGAAGGAAAAATTAAAGGCTCAAGCTGTGACTAAAGCTTATGACCAGATTTTTGGCCATGATTATGGTGGCAGATTATTTTGTTTACCAAAATACTTTTTGTCTGTCTTTTCTTATCAATGGATATTGCATCACAAGAACAATAGAATGTCTTTCTGCATTGTGACTTAAAAGAGGAGGTTTACATCAAACAATCACCGGAATCTGTTGCAGAGGGATACCCAACTTGCATATGAGATTAAGAAACTATTGTGTGGAAAGGCCTTTTTGCAGGCCGAAGTTTGGAAGGGATGTAGGAAGTAATGATAAGACCATTATCCGGTTTTTCTTTGATGAAGTGTCAATTAATCTTGATGCGTTTTATACTTTCATGTTGAATTGTATTATAAGCAATACTAATAGCTGATTTATTATTACAATAAAGATCACAGGTTTTTCACATTCACTTTGTTCCATAGCTCTGAATTCAGCTTCCATACCGGACCTTGTAATTACATTTTGTTTTTACCTCTCCAAGTCACCAAGTTTTCACCTAAGAACATGTGATATCTTGAGGTGAACCTCTTATTGGTAACAGAGCCTGCATAGTCTGCACCAATGAATACATTTCCATATTTAATTTTCCATCTTTCTTGAGCAACAATCCCTTTCCTAGACCTGGCTTCAGATATTGAAGGATTCACAGTCTATAAGTGTCACTCTCTTGGATCATGCATGAACTAACTGACCATTGGTTAGATGTGAGCTAAGTAAATGAGCTTTCGTACAAGCCTCTTATATTGACCTTTATTTGCTACAAAGCTATCATCATCACTCATAATTATATGGTTTTGTTCTATAGATCTATAGTCACCTTGCAATCAATTTTACTTGTATCTTTGAGAAGATCTAGAACATACTTTCTGAGAGATAAAAAATGGCTTTTCCCACTAGATGGCTTGTAGCCCAAGGAAGTACCTTAATTTTTTGAGATCCTTCGTATCTAACTAAGCAACAAGCCTTTCTTTGAAGATCAATTTTTCATGTTCATCATCCCGCAACAATCATATTATTATTAACTACATAGACCAAGATAAGAGTAAGTTTCCCTTCTATGAAATGTTTGATAGAGTATAGTCACCTTGACTCTAATGAAACCCCCAATGAAATCATAGCGTGAATAAGTCTCATAAACCAAGCACGGGGCTACTTAAGTCTACACAAGGCTTTCTTCAGCCTACATATTTTATTCCTTAAAACAAAGTGGAATCTCTGAGTACACTTCTTCCTCTATGGGTGCCAAAGCCACTACAATCAAGGATAAGCTGGTTGTTGAAAGGCTACTCCAATCAAACACCAAAAAGGGCATAAAATATATATCTTTTTCAGACTACAATATTAGATTTCATGCAAAATATTGGAAGTCCTACACTGACTAGAGATAAGGCCAATTCACAATATATAAGTGGGTGTAAACCTCATCTTACAAACCGGTTTTGTGGGGTTGAGTTAAGTTTAAAGTCCACTTCTTAACACAGTATCAGAGCTTGGTTAGAGTCTATCCAAGCGAAGTTTGATGTTTGTGGAATCAACCTCACTTTACAACTAGATTTTGTGGAGTTAAATTAGACTTAAAGTTCACTTCTTAACACAACACTTGGTTGGCCAGCTTCACCTAGCTAATTCAAGGTCAACCCTTGTTAAGGCCATCCATTACACATAAGGCCCCAACACAAAATGCAGAGAAAGTAGTGTTAGTACATAGCCAAAGTGGGAGTCAGTTGATAGTTAAGTCCATTGGAAGTCTTTTAGCAAACAAATGTAAATTGGGATGTATTGCTAGAATGTATAAAGAGGACTGCATACGGGCAATTGATAGCCAATTAGTCCATTAGTTAGTTAGAAGTGGTTGTTGCTAAAATCAGATTAGAGGGATTCGTCAAGTAAATATGACAATTTGTGTGTTAAAGGAGAAACCATTTATGAAGGGGAAAGCCTCCAAGAGACCACCTCTCTCCTGTTCTCAATTACTCAACAAATTTGTTCATTTTTCTCATTCGTTTCTAATAATTTTCCATTTCTCTTCATAGTTTCTAACTAGTGAAATAATTTTGTAGAAGTGGTACAATAGAACCATACCTGACCTTTGCGCAGATTATCTGAAGGACACTTCAAGGCATCTTCCAGAAGTGAGATAACAATCGGTGAGCATGATGGATCTACGCTAGAGTCAGCCAATGCATAGGCCTTCAGGAAAAATGCCTCAAAAGATCTTTTGATACTAATAGACTCCTCTGCTTTCTGGAGTCCTTCCTCATAATGACCTGTATCATATAAGATCCACCCCTCATATACAAGTCGTTCATGCTCGCTTGATGCATGTTGCTGAGCTAACTGTAAACTCCGCATAGCAGCCTCAGGACAGTTCAACCTAAGTCAAATAAATACATCAGATTTATAGAGGCATCATATCAAAGTCAGTATTTAGACAGATAAAGACCCAGAAACCAGAGAAGCTTCCTTTACAGACACAATTTTACAGGGATAACGTGTATTTCAAAGTAAAATATAATGTTCTATGGATACTTCCTCCTTAATGGTTGAGTTTATTATCACTGATGTACAACTTCAAAAAAACAGATTTCCATGTGCAAGTAAAGCCAGAAGATCAAAAGTAGCTACCAATGTCATGTTCTTAGTCATGAAATTTACAATATGATTCAACATTGTCAGCATAAAACACCAAGTATCGTGTTAGGTTCCTAATACACGTGACAGTGAGTTAAGTTCAAGGCTGGAAAAATTAATGACAGATACCAAATATGGAGGTTTGGACCTACTATGATTTCTAGCAAAACTAAGTCCCTGACCACTGACTCCAAGAGCCTTCAAAAATTTCATAACATACCTGAGGAGAAGCAATGACTGTCTGAAGTACAGAATACCTTTTGCCGCATCAGATTCAAGCATCTGGTATATAACAGACAGAGACCCAATATCATCAACTGCAGACCAACAGTCATATAACCGAGCCCAACAATCAGCAGTTGTCCAACGTTCAACATGCTCACGCACAAGTGTGCAGAGTTGGGATGCAGCAACACGTCCCTCAAACATTCTATAATCTGAACGTAAAGTAAGAATTGTTTGAACATCACATAGAGCTGCTTTGTAGTCCTCAAGAGTCAGATGGGTAAAAAATCGTATTTCTAAGCATTCTAGTGAAAGTTTGAACCCAAGAATCCTATTGATTTCTGCTAGTGCAGCTTGAGCATTCTGCGTACTCATCAAAGAGGCAGCCCTGTACATGTAAGGATATGCAAGTGTAGGATCCAAATTACTTGCTTTCTCAAGGTCATCCCACCTTTTGTCACTGTCACAGTATAATGACCTTTCCTGATACATCCATCCAAGTGGAGTAACAGATGAAATGACCGAGCTCAGCAGCTCATAAGATAAAAACTTGTCGCCCTTTATAAAGTCAAGCCTAGCTAAACCTGCCACAGAATATATATGGCCTGCGTTTACGGCCCCTTCAAAAAGAAGACGTGCTTCATCATATTCTTTCCGTAAGAGTCTTACACATCCCAATTGATGTAAAGCCAGGATTCTCTGTTTGTCATTCTCAGCAAACTCAACTAACCGTTCCAGGATATGAACTGTTTTGTCGGAACTAGAATTAAGGTTCATAGAAACTTCACTTAAGAAACAGAAAAGTGCAAATATACCTGGCCCAACCATTACTGCTAGCTGCTGCTTATTAGCATGAACAAATATCTCTACTACCCGACTGTCATTCAAACAGTTTGGAAGATCACGCAAAAGTACTTGTAAACAGGATGCAGCAAGTACAGTTGAATTCTCATCAAGAGCATATTCCATGAGCTCTACAGCATCTTCTTTGGAGGAAACCAAGGATGCAAGTCTTCTATCACAAGCATCTTTAAGTCTTTCACAACAATACTTATTTGCAAAAGCTAATATCTCCAATAAAAGATTTGGGGGGACCTCAATCAAACCGCCAGTCAAACTGAAAATACTTATTGCCTTCATACCAAATGGAGAGATATTATTTTCAGACAAATCTATAGTCTCAGCACGTGATTCGCTGAAATACCCCTTTAGCATAGCATTAAATGGTGCCGAAAGTTCAGAAATTTTTTGTCTATCACAAACTATCTCTTCATCACCAATTGTAAAAGTAACATTTTGAGAAATGCAGTTCTCATTGGTCATTCTCCCCACAGAACTTACATTTACATCAAATGGAAGATGAGATGCTATATCTACAGGTGCAAACTCCTTCGCACATTTACCACAATTGGCAAGCAAGTCGGCTATTAGTTCTTCCTCTTGCTTCTCATATTTCAACCATGCCCCAAATATAATCTTCTCATGAACAGTGTTGGCTTTCTGCCAAGCTCCCTGAAGGCTTCTACGCATCAGTTTAACTTCCCCAAGGCCCCTAAAGACCTGGTATTGTAACAAAAACAGATTCGACCGCTCTTGTGGAGGACAAGACTCGAGCTCTTCATGGATTTGCGCCAAAACTTCCACATAATCAGCAGGCTTATAGAAAGGCCGTACAGCTGGCTGAGGGACCTTGACCAGAGATTCTCTAAAGTACATAAAAGCAAACAAAATCCCATCCCAACCCCACCAAAAAACAAAAACACCTAATTAAATTGGCAGAAAGGGAAAACTTCAATTGAAATAAAGGACCCGTTCAGAGAGAAAAACTCACATTGAGGCAGAGGAAGGGTACGATGACAACTTGGGAAGTTTCCCTCTTTCAATTTGAAGCCAAGACTGAGGATTCAAAGCATTTGGATGCGTCTCTTTACAGGATTCTGCAGGGAAGAAACTCCTCATGGGGCATAAGAGACGAAACAACTCCCGGATCTCCACAACAGCACCACTTCAAAAACCAAACTTCACGAATTGGGGGCACATTCCATTGCCAACAAACACAGCAATCAATCTCAAGCTAAGGATTTGGTGCACCCAACCAACGAGCTATAATATAAAACAAAAGCTAAAACGAAATTTAAATTGACTAAATTTGATTATTACAATATGCTTAGTCTCTTGAGTTCAGCACAAAACAAAACATGCCCACATGGTTAATGTCTAGGAAAGATCTCAAGCAGAAAAATGTAACTCACCTAATCAGCTCGGAAAATGCAACAAATGAATCGATAGAGAGAGCTCAACTATGAATTGAATCTGCAGAGGAAAATCAAATTGGAAAATTGGGACTTCAACTAACTTTTTTTTGTGCCTTTGCTTTTTGGTGATAGGGAAAGTATCTCATTTTCCTTCTCCTGGAGACAGACCATACAAATTAACTTTTTCTTTTAAATTGGAGATTGAAAGTTGAAACTAACTGTTACACCAGACTTGATTTTCTTTCAAATGGTAATAACTATATCTTTTTGAATTTTAAGGTATTGTTCTAAAATATAAAACAAATTAAGTCAAAAAACAGTAACTTGAAAAAGGTATATTTGGAACCAAAACATTTTTTTATTTTCAAATCCAATAGACAAACGCATGTGAAAAATTACAATGTTTTAGTCTAATCTATAAATAATATTAATTTTTTTTGTATAATTTTTTATAGGATAAAACTTTAGATGTGGACTGGAAATGCATAATTGCATATGACAAATGCATATAATTAATCATTGTCCTTTTATAAAAGAAAACTAATTATTATTGTGAAAATAGTTTACTATCTTCATTTTTAATGTAAATTTTCTACTGTGTGGTTGCAAAACATAATATTTCATTAGTGAAATATTTTTTATATTTTATTTTAATTCTCATTAATTATTCATCTTATTTTATATTTTGTTTAGGTATTTTTGTAATTACAAAATATGTTGTTATTTTTTTCTATATAAATAGCATTATCTCAATCAAGAAGGATAGAAAATGATAACGTGCAAACACCAACCACATAATTAGTCCTTCAGATAAAGAAATAACAAAAACGTGATACATTCAATCGGATTTCATCGACAAATTAACCTATATTCACGCTAGTAAGAATAAATTGTTTTTTTCATTATTTTATTATAATCTTTATAAATTTATATTTCAATTTCTACAAGAATGTGGATATTATTTATTTGCACTTTTATGCTCTCTTTTTTAGGGACATTGAGTTAAGACTTTTTGTTTAGACTATAAATAATTGTGAAACAATTCTATTTTGAATTTTGTAAGAGTTCTATGTACAAGAATTCTTTCTTTAAATATATATATATATATATATATATATATATATAT